CCCCCCGCCAGCCTCTCGGGCGTCGGCTGTAGCACCACCCTGAGCCTGCCCTCCTGCCCCTGCCATTTGTCGCCTTCTCTCCGTCTCGTTGGCTAAGGGTCGTGCACTTGCTGATGTAGCACCGTCAGCTCTACAGAAGCTCAGTGAGTGCAGGTCATTCATTTTGAACATGTGGCGAATTTGGGTCAGTTATTAAAAACTTGCGATCCTTTCTCCTGTTGAATATTTCTGTCAATAGAATTGGTCTCATGTTCTTTACAAGTTTAGTTCTTGAAGTTGTCAGTTTTGTGCTTTATAGAGCCGTCAGGATAAACCGCTTTTAGCCGTTAGCTAGTACTGAAGTGCAGGTTCTGCCCTGAGTCTGTCCCTGGTAGGGAAGTGTCTGGTGTTGAGTCTCTGTTCCCAAAGTAGCTGAGCGTCGGGCTCAGAGTGGCTGCAGGTCGCTCTGCCTTAGCCGGCCAGGCTGAGGGCTAGTGCTCGGCGCTCCGTGCCGTAGTGGGACCTAGAAGACGCTGTCCGGTCGGCGCCTTAGTGACTTGGTCTCTTACCAAGGTGTGCAATGGCAGACTTGAAATATAGTTCATGTGTGTGTCAGTCTCGCTCTCCCTTTTAGTTCCAGGAGGTTCGGAGTATGACTTAATGAAATAAACGTGCCTCCCCTTTCTTTGGTTTCGTTACTTGGAAGTTTATTTTTTCCGTGAGACAGAAAGGTCCTCCGGTAGGATTCTGATGCAGCGACCCATCCCTAGCTGTAGCCAGCGCCAAATCCCGCACATGTGCACCTGGCACGCCCAGCAAGCTCTCCATTCATGAGCCCAGTGTCACCACAGGGCTCGCCTGATGGTTTTTTAACCTGTAAATGTAACATTGTTTCTAAGCTGATAACTTCCAAATCAGGGCTGTTAGCATTAAAATTGCCCACCTGGATGGCAAAGATACAGAAATGATAGAGAACATTTAGTACACAGAACGTGTGACCTAAAAAAAAGTTAAGTGGGCCCTTGGCCTAGTGGTTAAGGGAGCTGGATCCCACATGGTGACCATGACTTGGAGCCCCAGCCCTCACAGCTCGAAAAGGAGGTGCCAGGTGCACGAGTGCACCCTGAAACCCTGAAAGGAGGGCGAGGCGCAGGAAGAGATCGCGCTGTGACCGTGCCCCAGGCCTCTGCTCGCGCTGTCTCTGCGGAGTGTACGCGCCCTTTAGCTAAGGGAAGGAAAAGTACAGTGTGGGCCCAGATCCCACTTCTCCGTAGTACCCTAACCCAGACTGGCGTGCGTGAGTTAAACGTGCTAGTACTTGAGCGTGGGGCTCTTACCCTCCTCTCTCGGGACTTGCCGGGGTCTAACAGTGCGAAGCCCCTTGGCTCTCCTCCTCAGGCTGCCCACGACGGTACGTGGCTTAGGCTAACCACCAGGGAAGAAGAGAAAGCAGTTGAAATAATTTGGCGCCAGGTAGACCTTTCTCAAATGACCAAAATTGGCCACTCACGGGGCCGGCAGGTGGTCTGGTGGTTAAGGCACTGGATCCCACGTGGGCAACTCCATGGTTTGAGTTCCGGACCTGTTGTCTTGAGAAACCACAGTGGGTGTGTGTGCACGTGCACCCAGAATCCTGAGAGGAGAATGGAGGAGAAGGGATTTCCTTGTGGCCATTCCCTTTTGGGGATGTTGTCTCATTTTCCCTCTCTCTGTGTCTGTCTCTGGTGAGCGTACTTGCCCTGTGGCAAAAACAGTCTAGATAAAGTGTTAAAATTGGCCACATAGAGAGAGAGCTGAGCGGGTTCTCTCACTCTTCTAGGCGTTGCGTGACGCACAGATGGAATAAAAAGGAAGGCACACAAGGCAGAGAAGAGCCCGCCTCCTCAGGACAGAGGCGTTGTTAGCAGTGGCCACCCCACAAGGATAAGACAGCTTTTGCCCACAAAGCCTTGAAGGGTGCATCTGCCATGTTGCCGGTCTTTCCAAAACCACATCAAGGGTGACCTCCCGTGTAGTACAGGGGCCGGTGAGCGTTGGCCCCCCTTGTCTGTCTGTGACGCGGTTGGTGGCACACGGTAAGCGTCCGGGAACCTCCGCTGACCACCTGACTTCCTGCCTGGTCCCATAGCAGCTCGTGTGCGCGTTACTTCCAGTGTGGCTGGCGCGGGAAGTCAGGTGGTGACTTGTCTAGGTAGATTCTCGCAGACAACGTCCGTTAATCCTGGCGAGGTGTTTTGAGAAGTGTGTTCTGGGGCGATCGGGGTTTCCAGCTCCTCTGGAATCTGATGTGACCGCCGTGTGTATGTGGTCCTGAGTTGGAGGAAGTGCCATTACGAGGGACGTGCCTGCCTCAGTGCAGCTCGGAGCGGGTCAGGGATACACGGCGAGGGCGCCCATGTCTGGCAGGAGCTCACGGGTAGGGGCAGCAAGGGAGAGCAGGCTGTCTCGGGAGGGTGGTGAGCTTTGCACATTGTTCTTCAAACTTCTTAATTTTTTAAACTTTCTATTTGAGAGAGAGGAGGCGGCACCCCTGCAGTGTCTTCACACTGCAGTCCAGCCCAGTGTGGCCAGCATGGACCCTGGACACCTGTGAGTGTCCGTGTGTGTCTGAGCCCTCAGGTGGGTCCATTCGCATTACCCCTGGGCTGTCGTGTGTGGAATACACGTCTGTGAAAATGACTCTGGCTCACGTTTTGCTGTCAGTTCCCATAGGAACTGGCATTCGAAAATCTTTGAAGTACATTTTTAAGTTGTGCTCCTCTATCAGAGAATATCTGGTTTGCATATGAAGTATGGTGGGCAGGCGGCAGACCTCGGTGGTGTGTGAGGAGACAGATGGGCAGTCCCGGTAGTGAGCATCCTGGAGCTCTGTAAGACCGGGGAAGGCTGCCGACTCCTACCTGAGAACTCGATTTTGACTTGGGCTGTCCAGGGTTGGTTGGTGCTAACAATGGGTAATGGCTCACCCGTCTCAGATATCAGCGTAGGCAGAATGTCTGTACACACTGCTGTGTACGTTGTCCAGGAAGTTTGTCGTAACTGAAGAGTCCAGTTGGAACATTTCCAGTACTCTGGTAACTGCTTTCCTACCTGCCGCAGTACTGAAGGCAGGAGAGCTTCGTGGAGGAGGCGGTGACAGACACTTCCTAGAACTAGTGGCGTCAGAGTCAGGGCTCACGTTAGAACCGGCAGACACTGTGGAAGTGGGAAGAGCAGAGCAGCGGAACGCTGCAGCCCGACAGCACAGCTTCTGCAGAGGGTCGGTGGGGCCTGCAGGGAGTGTGTGACAACCAGAGGAGCCCGGCACTGTCGAGTTAGGTGGTAATGTCGGTTTGGGTGGACAGGCGGAAGCCCCGTGGTGAGCTCACTGCCATCATTTGTCTTTGAGCATGTCAGAAGGTCCCACAAGTGCAATGTTTGGGTTTTTCTGATGGAAGCGTAGAGGATCAGTTATAAAGAAACAAGAGAGACCAGTTACAAAATTTTGGCAGCTCCAGTGGCCCGGGGGTAATGGCGCTGTTGGAATGGAGTAGAAGTAGGTGTGGGCGTTCTGTCCTCTCAGAGATGGGGTTGGACGTGACAAAACTGGAGAACAGGACAGCACTAGAAGTTAGCAGTTTCTGGCTTCTGGCTTGAACAGCAGAGCTGTTGGGAGGCTAACCTCAGCCAAACTGGCTTTCCTGGGACAAAGGTCTGTTGGAAGTGCGAGGTTGGTGGTATCTTGGAGACTCCCCATGGACATGTTAGATGAAGTTTCTAAAAGCACAGACTCAATTCTATGGCTAACTAATTATAACCTGGTAGAAAAACAGTGATCCTTCACAAGCATCAAAAAAAAAAAAAAACCTCTGTATTTTGGGGGGCTAAAAGTGAAGCAAGAGGTGAAGAAGACTCAGCTTTGACAGCTAAGTTTTGTTAAAGTGTTTCACATAGTTATTATTTAACTAGCAAATAGTTGTATAAA